CTTCCTAATTAGGCTTGTCATACTTTCAAAAGCGGCTAATGACTAGTGTGAACATTTTTAAAATTGCAGTTCCATCATATTCAATGTTTTCAAGAGAATAACTTGGCAACCATGCATTTATCTGCATCCAAGCAGTGGTGCTGAAACAGTTAGTATAGTGGGGGTACTGAAAGCCATTGAACAAAACTGTAAACCCTGTATATGAGGGAAACCACTTCAAGCCAGGGGGTGCTGCCACATCCCCAGCTCCCTTAGTTCCAGCACCTATGCCAACTTGTTCACTGCAAGAGACAGGATATTTCACCAGAAGGACGAAATAATCTGTTTCTGCGGAGGCTCTTATGTTCCATCTGAAAGAGTTCATATTCCATTTCACATAGTATATTTGGAATATACACAGTTCTTGCTAGAGACAGATGAACCTCAAATGTTAAGCACCAATATGTCTGGCTACCAACAGTTGGAGTAAAGGCTCCACAGGGAGAGAAATATCCAAGGGACCAAAAAGGAAAGTGGAGCAGTGACTGGACACCAGTGGAGCATGAGAGAAGGATGGCAGGGATGTATATACTAGGGGAGAAAAGGAGAAAGGAACCCAGCATCAGCAAAGCACAAATAGAGTAGGGAGGCTAGATTTAAGAAAAAAAAAAAAGAACAGAACCGGTGTAAGGGAGAAGACAAAATGAATGTCCAGGGAGATTGAAGTGTTCTCCTACTGGCTTTTGTATGTTACCATTCCTGATGTCTGATTTGTGTCCATTTATTCTTTATTCAGTCTCTACGTAAAAGAATAAACGGACACAAATTGAACATCAGGAATAATAACATACAAAAGCCAGTAGGAGAACACTTCAATCTCCTTCAGTCATTCTATAACAGATTTAAAAGTAGCCATACTTGGAAAAAAAAAAAAAAACTTCAAAAACAAACTTCAAAGAGAAACTGCAGAACTAAAATTCATTTGCAAATTTAACACGATTAATTTGGGCTTAAATAGGGACTCGGAGTGGCTGGCTCACTACAAAAGCAACTTTCCCTCTCCTGGCATTGACACCTCCTCATCAATGGGAGTGGACTACATCCACCCTGATTGAATTGGCCCTGTCAACACTGGTTCTCCACTTGTTAGGTAACTCCCTTCTCTTCATGTGTCAGTATAATAATGCCTGCATCTGTAATTTTCACTCCATGCATCTGAAGAAGTCTTTTTTTACCCACAAAAGCTTATGCCCAAATAAATCTGTTAGTCTTTAAGGTGCCACCAGACTCCTTGTTGTTTTTGTGGATACAGACTAACACGGTTACCCCCTGATACTTAACACTCTACATCTCTAGTGGATAAAGGATAAAATAATTTACTGGGTCCTGAAGAAGGGGTGAGACATCCCTTTGGGTCACACAGGATAAAAAAGGGGGGTGGCTTTTGGGTTTTTATTTAAGGAAGACATTCTGAATAATCAGTCTAAATACAGGTGGGCTTGATAAAAAGATTAACTTTTTAGCTTTGTGTAGAAAAGTCTGTACTTTTGATGGAAACCTACAGAATTTCTACTTTGGGATTGTACATCAGACATAAGGAAAATAAACAGAAAAAATTTCCTTTATAGTATCATGATGTGAATTTATTTAAACAATTGGGGAGAAAGGGTGATAATGTTTCAGTTTAAACTTTCTTCAGATAAATCATCTGTGAATGAATGTAACCCTAAACATGTTCGTACACTTTTGAAAGCCTCATACTAAGTTGTAAATGTGACCTGAAGGTAATTCTAGAAGAATTTTCCATGCATTATATCCCTACCATACAAATAAAATTATGATATTTACACAATAATTATGTCTAGGCATGCCAGGGTAAATCAGCACCTAGATATTATGGCAATGGGCTCATTACAAATACCCCATATAGTCTAAATCTACACATACATTTAACTCTATGATCTCAAAGAATGATTTAGTGCCAAATCCTCATGCATGTAATCCCATTGATCATTTCTTCTGCAAGTAAAACAAGAATTTGGCCCTTAGCGTACAACATGAACATCAGACATATCCTAATGCAGTACATTATTCAAGTAAAATAAAGTCAGGCACTAATTCCAACGTTAGAGAACCAATTTGGTACATTTTGCAATTAGTTCTTACCAGGATTTATTTCTTGCACTGTATACCATGCACATTCCAGGGGACGCACTTACTAGATCATAATAAGAGTTCACGCTGGGATTCAGTTGGGAATAGTAGTGCAACTCTAGAATTGTTATTTTCAGTAAAAAGTCAGGTATTTTGAAAGGCTACAGGTCTATTTATATATGCATGGATATAAAAGAACAAACACTGCATTTTAGTTAATTTGATATGAAAGTGTACAACTTTGGGATCAAATGGAATGAAGATATTTTTGGCAGAATTATTAGGTAACCCAGGGTTTTATACAGAATATATGGTAGGTAGAGAATTTACTGTACCTCTTTCATACACCAATGGAATAATCTTAAACCAAAAAACAAAAATAATGCAATATAGTGTATATTCAAAAGCTTACATTCACTACATATTAGAATCATAGAAATGTTAGGCTGGAGGGACACTCAAGAGGTCATCTAATCTAGCTCCATGCACTAAGGCAGGATCAAGTATACTTAGACCATCCCTAACTAACCTGTTCTTAAAAACCTCCAGATTCTGCAACCTCCCTTGGAAGCCTATTCACAGCTTAACTACCCTTAGTCAGAAAGTTTTTACTAACGTATAACCTAAACCTCCCTTGCTGCAGATTAAGCCCATTACTTCTTGTCCTATTGTCAGTACCTAAATGTAGTACTTTGCAATTGTCATTATTGAGTTTCATCTTGTTGATTTCTGACCAATTCTCCAATTTGCCAACGTCCTTTTGGATTCTAATCCTGTCCTCCAAAATGCTAGCAACTCCACCCCAGCTTAGTGTCACCCACACATTTTTAAGCACTTTCTCCATTCTGTTAGCCAAGTCCTTAATTAAAATATTGACTAGTACTGGACACAGGATGGACCCTGCAGGACCCTACTAGATATGCCCTCCCAGTTTGATAGCGAAGCATTGATAACTACTCTGAGTACCGTTTTTCAACAACCAGTTATGCACTCACCTTATGGTAATTTCATCTAGACCACATGTCCCTACTTTGGTTATGATACTTCTGTGACAAGTTACTTTTATCATAACCGTTTGAGCACCTGTCCTGCACTCTGCCTACTGATCAGTATCTCCCAGGACTAATTTTACTGCTATTCCAAACCTCTGACTGGCTTCAAATAATTGCCTTTTTTTTTTTAATCACAAGCCATAACACTTATTTTTTCCCCTCTTCAAAATTATCCTAATTTGAGATCCAGAACAAAAATATTCAATCCAGGATCAATGAAAGGTCTATGATTTGATATCTTCCACATCATCAAGGTTACACCTCAACTGCTAGCAGAGCACCTCACCCTCCCTGATTGAACTAACCTCGTTATCTCCATACTGATTTATACCTGCCTCTGGAGATTTCCATTACTTGCATCTGAAGAAGTGAGGTTCTTACCCACGAAAGCTTATGCTCCCAATACTTCTGTTAGTCTTAAAGGTGCCACAGGACCCTCTATTGCTTTTTACAGATTCAGACTAACACAGCTACCCCTCTGAAACTAGAGTTGAATATCCAAGAATGTCAACTTTTTTTTTTCTTAAAGAATTTCATTAAAAAAAAAAAAAAAACAGAGGGCAGGGATCCAAATTCTGGTCTGGAACTCAGTCCCTTACTTCCTGGGCTTACAGGGACAATGTTCTCAATTCCTGAGAATGCAAGCACATCTTGCATTGCTCAAGCATCCACATCTAGCCAACCTCTGATAGACCCACATGCAGCCCATATGAACCCTTCAATGCTAAAGATGGAGGAATCCTGGAGAAGAATATATTTGGTTTGCTTTTAATTTTGTTCTTATAATTAGCAACAGTTTGTTTTAAGAAGCGTATCATTTAAACATACTATACATATATTCATATATATATATATATATCACAAAACATGGAGCGGGGACCTGTTGATAGGCTACAAATTGAAAGTGAATTTATTTTTATTTTTAAAAATATACATTAAAACATACTTGATTCCAGATACTAGTGGACCTTGTGTTTTCTTCTCTTTCTTCTTTCATTTTATATAGAGAGAGACTGTACATAGAACAGATGTAGTGTTACGCTAGTAGCTTTCCAAAAAGGTTTCTTTCCCTAGAGTGGACAGTATTAAGGTAAGGCCAACCTCCCAAATAAAATTAAGTGAGTTAGCTGAATCTGTGAAAAATTTGCTATTTGTTAAAAAAAAAAAAAAAAAAAATTGGGGGCGGGGGGAATAAATTGTTTCATGATGGCATTTGTTCCCCTTTTTTGGAGTGTGTCTTTGGTTTCTTGGATTTTTGCACACACAAAGCACAGGACATAAGAACTCAAAGAATTTAGGTTCTCTAATTAGGTTATTTTTCAAATCTTTAAAATGTGTAATATAAAAAGTGAAATAGTCTGAGCCACATTCTGTCACCCTTTCATTGAATAGTATCTTATTCCTTAAGCAGTCCCATTCATTTCAGTGACACTACTCAATGTGAGTAAGGCTAACAGAATCTGGCTTTTTTGAAAGTCAAAGAATTTTATCTGAATTTATTAAAGATTTTTTCCCTTAACTTCACGAATTTTGTACACACCACATCATATGGTGTTCTCTATACTGAATGTAATAATTGCAGATGGTGGGCCCAATCTCAAAACCTTCACTTATGTAAATAATCCATACAGAAATAGTCCTACTGAAGTCAATAGGACAAATCATGTCAGTAGGAACTACTTCCATGAGTAAGGATTGCAGTCTTAGCCCCTGTGTTTTATATCACATTAAAGGCAGTATACTGTAATAAATGAATACATGCTCTTGCTAGTTTCTCTTAAATTTTACAACATATTCTTTTGTTAGAAGTCTTACCTTTTTCTGAAGGACATTGATTTTTCTTTCCTTTACTTCTAACATGTCTTTCATATCTCGAATCTCTCCAGCCAAGGTTCCCTTCTCTTCTGTGAGGTCTTGCAGTTGTTTTGTTTTTTTATTAAGAAAAGTTTCTTTTTCTTCCAGTCGTAATCTCAAGGCATCAACCTGTAGTCAATAAATGAAACACAAAGACTTTAAGGAAAGAATGGTAGTAAATAATAGTTAAGGTTACATAAGCTTTTCCATTTTAACCCCCTATTTTCTGTTGCATCTGAAACCTTTACTTTTTGGACTAAGATTTTCTCTGCCCAAAGTTGATTTTTTTTTTAGAGAATTAAATAAATATACTCTCTCATTAAAACATTATCCTTTAGAGTTGTGGTGTTGTTTTGTTTGTTTAACAACTCTAAAACAGTAAAGGTTGGAATACTAAGTTGAAATTTGACATTAAAACAGTCTTCATTAAGTTGAGGTGCTTATGAATGATCTAGGAAAGTTCATTTTGATTTGATAAACGTATAGTCCATTGAAAATAGTACTCTGAACATGCAGTGCATTTTACTTTGAGTTTTCTTGCTGAAGTCATGAAGTACCCAGCTAGGGAGGGTACCCTCGGTAGTTTATCTGTAGAGTGAAATAGTGAAGGTGCCACTGAACAAAGGGAAGGTTTCAACAGGATCCTTTACCTTCTTCAATGTCCATCATCTTGTAAGGCTCTCAATAAATGAAGTACAAGAGTACTTCCTGTATTCACTGCAAATCTTGTAAGATAAAAATTGAACATCTCTGAAGGAGAAAGGTCCTTTCCTCTAGTCCTTGTGAGGTGTAGCTAACCAAGTTGTTCTATATTATGGATTTTCTCTTGTATTTCTTTGTAAAAAAACAAACTATGAAATTCCATCAAAATTATTAATAGAGTGTTAAATTTAAACCAGTAAGCACCCCAAGAGTCAGGAAAATACACATTCAACTTTAACTGTGTCAATTTCTACTTTTTGAATACAACCGTGCAACTTTGCTGTTCTTTTAACAGTTGGTGGACTGTATTAGTAAGATAAAAATACATATTGAAACACTTGTCAAAATATGGTCAGCAGAGCACTTGTTGGTGATCTGGAAAGAATTGGTAGGTCATGTGATACTGGTTCCTACTTGTGTGTACAGCTGTTTCTACAGGCAGCTAGATTTTTTCATAGCAGTTAGGAGTCTGGATATCTGTAAAAGCATTGGAAAGAAAGCCCACCTGTCTACATCAAAAATAAGAGAGGGAAAATGAAGCCATCTTCAGGGACTACAAGCACAGATTGGACTGAAGCTGACAGGCATTATTTAGAATAATCAACAGGAAAGGAATGTCCATTGGAGAAGGGAGCAAAGTAAGCAGGCAGCATAACCAGGGTAAGCATGGGAGGGGATGACCAGGTGCCTAGGCAGCATGTCCCCGGAAGTAGAGAACCAGGCATTGGGCAGTACATATACTGTACACTAGGTCCAAGCAGCCAAGAAGTACATACAACTGTAAAGAAGAAAGAGGACCAGAGTGGCAGACAAGCCAATGCCAGGGGGAGAGAGGGGACAGAAAAGATGGAAAGAGGGATGATTGAAGAGCAAGAAGACAGTGTGACTTTTTCAAAAAGGACTAAATAATTATTGCACTACACAGTTAAAAATATGTTAATGCTTTTCTCATATGACATTTCTATGTAAACAATTGCTATGAGTAGTTTCCACAGGGATAATGCATACTTTCAAGTGGAATAGGAGTCGGGCTACTCCGTTGTGAACGGGAGGAGAAGAGGTCCACAGGACGCTCTTTGTATGAGCTCACAGCCTGCACTAACATGTAGTATGCAAACTTGACATTGTTGATGGTATGGATAGTAACCATCAGGCTTTACTGTGTTTGACATTTCCTTATTGGGCTATGATTTATGATAATCAAAGGGATTTGAAGTAAAAGAGCTCGTCACAACTTCTTAAAAATAATAATAATTGCCCAGTTTCAGCAAAATACTTAAGCATGTGCTTAATACATGGGAGAAATTCCATTCCAACCAAGCAAAGCACTTAAGCAAATGCTTAAGTGCTTTAATGAATCAAGGCCATAATAACTAATACAGATTCTTAATTATGATAGATATATATAACAGACTGCAGATTATGATGATGTGGATGAGAAGGGGAAGTGAAGTCAGAGATTGAACAGTAAAAACACAACTGGAAAATGTGATAATATAGGATTTAAACAAGCTGCATTGTACATGGAACAAAAGAATAGGAACAATATGAAAATTAAATGATCCAACACTGGAATAATTTAAGATTGAAAAGATCCAAGCTTGGAATGATTGTAGAGTATAAGAATCCAAAATACACTGTGTAAGCTGTGCTGAGCTTGACATTCAGTAACATTCATGTATAAGTTCTTTCCATTTCTGCAGAAATGGAAAGAGCAAAAGCAACATCTCTCTGCTGGAAAATGCAGTAAAATATGGTGCTTAGGTAGCATAGACAGTGTGGTAAATAAAGCAAACTGGAAAAGAGAAATAACAGAAAATAAACTGAATTGGAAAGTATACCCATTAAATACATCTCATTTTTTCTTTACTGTAAGCATTGCTGTTATGGAAAGGGCAACTTATTGGACTGAAGCAAAAGCCAAAAGGGGGGCGGGAGGTGATAAGCCCAGGTGTTTAACTTTTTTTCCTTTATCAATCATATTGTTAAAATGAAACACACACAAAACAATTAAATCCTCATCAAAGCCCCAACTCAGCAAAGCACTTTACTACACACTTAACTGTAACCATTATTACTTAAATGGGAGTTACAATTCACATTTGGTTCCTTGAATTATCACTTAAAACACAACTCCCTCTATAAACATATTGCTGCACTGAAATGCAACTAGCTATGCTGCAGTGAGAAGAAACCAAGCAGTATAGACAGGGAGTGGAAGTTTTGGCCAGGAGAATGGAGTAAAGGCATTATGAATTTATGACAAATTATTTTCTTCCCTACTCTGTTATTTTCAGATCAAAATAGCTTAAACATTAGTTTTTTTGCAGTCTTCTTGTGATTAAGTTTAATTTTTAAAAAGTAATACACACTGTATTCGATCATGAAATAGACAGCTCCCAAGAAAATCTATAGCCACAAAATATTAAGATAGACTAGCTGTACGTAAAATTTGATCTTCTAACATAAATCCATTCAAAAGTTCCTCTTCAGAAATTCCTCCTTTTTAAATGCCATTGGAGAACAATAAAACCAAACCACTGTTAGAGCTAAGCTTTATGGATTCAATTCTACATTCCTTGCACACCCCAAACTCCCATCAAAGTCAACCATGGGTTACAGAAATAAAAACAATTTATTCTTAACTGAACTATTTCTGTTTGTTTTTCCAGAAGGCCGGCTACTAGGCCCAAATTTTTAGCTGGAGCCCTCCTGGAATGGGAAAGGAGATGCCAAAAATGGTATTACATGCCTACTTTCAGGGTCTGCTTTTTCTCCTCTGGAGAGGGAGGACAGTCTCAGTCTACAGTCTGGAAAGCATGCAGAGGCGATTTTGGGGTGGAGAGAGCCTGCAGGTAGTCCACCAATACACGGACATTATCACTACTTGGAAGTTAGAGAATTCAGATTAAAACACCTTTATACAAATAATAAAGCCAATGGCACACGCAATACTCCTTGAATGAAGGTAGAATTTTTCTGACCCTTTTTTCTCTATGGCTGATCCCTGAAATCACCCAGTGCTGTGTTAAATGGATCTCACCAGGCTAAGTTAAGCAGTAAGTTCCACTCAGAGAAGGCATTATTATATGTTTATAGTACATGGCAGTGTAGTCCTAGAACACTTTCCCCTCCAGCAGGGAGTTTGCAGGAGCTCAAACAAGTGAGAAATTTTAGATTTACAAATCCAAAATTTCAAATATAAAATCTGTAACACCAGAAAGTGATGGATTTGGAGTTAAATCAACATTTTACTGAAATATGAGAAATTTAATTCACAATAAAAAAGCTAGCATTAAGTAACAATGAAAAATGTTATTTTGGCATTTTTAAGCAGTGCAATAAGCCTAGTCAGAAAGGGTCATGTATATTAATCAATCAACCTTTTTTCTAGTGGTTAAACTGCACATTGTTAGAGTACAAAATAATCTGCAAAGAAATCTGATTTATTCTGATTTATATTGTGAGTTTTGTAATGCTAAATTTGTTCTGAACAAAAGTCTTTGCAAAGCCATTTTAAAAATTCAGTTTGGGACCAATTTAGATGATCTATTGAATCTCAGGATGCGTGTTCTTCCTGCTCTTAAAATGGCTCATTGCTTTTCTATACACTGGGAAAAAGATTTACACTATAGTTTATTGGATTTTTTTCTCTTTTCTTTTTATGAAGATTTTGAATAAGAACAAATAATAATAATAGGTCTTACAACAGTCCACAAGCGTAAAATGCAAGCCTCAAAGTGACTTTTAAAACAAAACAAAAAACAGGAGACCTGCTATGTTGCCCTGAGCAAATCTATTGTGCCTTTAAGGCACTAGCCTGCGATTGAGTGGATGGGAGGCATCACTGCAGCAGGAGCTCTAAAAGTGTTGCTCCTCAGAAAGGCATTATGAGGCTGATTCTCAGAAGTGCTGAGCATCAGCATTTTCACACTTAAAGTCAACAGGAGCCAGTGCTGCTCAGCACCTCTGAAAATCAGAATTGGTACCTCTCAGAGTTCCTACTTGTGCAGGGGAAGTATGGCTGCTTCAAGGAGTGCACCACACACTTCCCTCTGCGGACAGCCTGCTCTCTTGGCTAGATTTAAAGGGGGTAGGTTCATGGCCTCCTTTCTCCCATCTCTCTTTTGGTGGTTAACTGCTAGGCCAGTCCAACAAATCCCTACATTTAGATTAGCACATGTACTATGAAACTGCAAATTGCCCTTCCACACCTGATATAGTACAGGGGTAGGCAACCTATGGCATGTGTGCCGATTTTCTGTGGCACTCACACTGCCCGGGTCCTGGCCACCGGTCCAGGCGGCTCTGCATTTTAATTTAATTTTAAATGAAGCTTCTTAAACATTTTAAAAACCTTATTTACTTTACATACAATAGTTTAGCTCTATATTATAGACTTATAGAAAGAGACATTCTAAAAATGT